GACCTTTCAGGCATATCCAGTTGGCAGAGGTTTACAGAACCAGGTCAGAGACAAAGGCAGGGTCCAACGTGCATACGGTGGTGAGAGGGATACTATAAAATCTTCCTGGTCACCCACGATCCACAAAGCCGCAAACACCGAGACAGGAGCATCAGTACTCTGCCAGCTTCTGTGGAATTCTCTTTCTCAGCATTCCCATTTCCAGGCTTGTTTCACTGGACTTTGTCGTCACAGTTGCGCTCGCCCCGCCTGGTATTCTGCTGTTACTGTGCTCCTTCCTGCCTCTTTTCTGTATCTGTGGCGCTGATGTGGTCTCTCCCAGCAGCCTCCGCCTTGCTCAGGGGCCCTGCCTGCTCTTCCAGCTCTGTGGGTATGGCTGCTTCCAGGGGCGATCTTCTGATTTGTGTAAGATCTGCAGAACCCAACCTTGACCGTTCGGTCAATAGTTCAATCTCTTTCTCTCAGTTTGTCTTCCTTATCTGCCCTAGTGGCGGCTTTGAAAACATTTGAAGTCTCCTAGGACTCGCATCGTCTCTTCATTACTGGAACTACTGGAAGAGCCACCCACTAAGCGGCTATCTTGTTCCCAGCCCCGCACTCTTTCATGATTTTCCATGATGCGGTCAGTGAACTCTGATCATTTCTTTTAGAATCTTTAATGATTCTCATCGTTTGTAGCAGAAAACCCCAGTTCCTCATCACTGCTTGCAACGGTCTTCCTGCTTTGAGCGCTGTCCACCTCAGCAGGCCCATTTCCTGTCATTTCTCCGTCTTACACGTAAGGCCTGGTCTCAGGGCTCTTCAGGTTTCTTGTCTCACACGTTCACTTTCGCTTCTACGTCCACTCTCACTTCTTACTACGACGCTCTTACCGTGTCCCTTTGACTGGCGCAGTCACTTGGTCCTTCAGGTCTCAGGTCACACTTCGCTCTCGCTGGGACCCGTTTCTGGGCCCTGGGGCTGCAGCACGTGCCCTCTCTGTGTGTGCGGGCAGCCCCGTTTCTCTGCAGGGCAGCGCGTCATTCTGAGTTTCAGTGGCCCCCATGCTGGTCTTTGTTCTTTCAGTGTGGTCAGGCCGTGGTGTCCCAGCCCAAGCACATTCGCAGTGCTGTGTGTAGGAAAGAAGCAGAAATAACGAAAATGATGACGGTCTCTGTCATGGTTTGTGCCTGAACCCTGCCCCTCAACGCCTCCTTTGGTCATGGGGGTGGGCTTCTGGGGGGCGGCTGAATGTAGAGCTTGTGATTGGTTCATTCTAGAGGGCTGGGATTGGCGGTGTGAGATGCCCCCGCCCCGGGGCGGCCGCCTGCGCACAGTGCTTGGGAGGGAAGGAGGTTTGCGCCTCCCTTTTGCCCCTTTGCTCTTGATGCTCCGGCTGTCCTCTCCGCCCTGAACTGCTGCCCCTGTGCCGGGCATCCTGCCAGCTGAGTACGGACCCACCCCTCCGCACACCCGGAGCTAAACAAACCTTCCCTTCCCTAAATTCGGGTGAGGGGCGTCGGGTGTTTTGTGGCAGAAAAGTACTCAACACAGTCCCTTAAAGTCATGGCCTGGTTAGACGAACCCCTTTGGACAGCCTTTGCCTCCTGATCCTTTGGAACTCTCTGTTTTATATCAACTTGGGAACACGAATTTGGTCTACTTGCTGTTTTGATGGCTTTGCACTTCTATAAATTAGTTCTCTTTCTGATCTGTATGTGTGTGTGCATGTGTGTGTGTGACTCAAGACTGAATTTAAAATCTTCTTATGGAGCCATAACCCTATGCCTTTTTTATTTTTTGTTTCGGATGGGCTGCACTGTAACTTGTGATCCTCCTGTCTCAGCTTCCTAGATTAGAGGTGCTTAGTTTGGTTCCATGTCGTAGGGTTTATGGGTGTCCATTCTACGTGATTACAATAAAACACTAAGATAATAAAAAAGAAAAATATTTAAACTCATAATAGGTAATAAAAGCTAAATAATTACCTTAGCTTCTGTCTGTGAGTCAATGCAAGACAGTACAGAAATTAGAAAACAATTTTCTGTGTGGGTGCAGTAGATATTTGCATATATAGAGATGTGACTCATACCTAAAGTGAATTATGAGTTTACACCCATAGCAACAGAATAGGAAAAGTAATTTGTAAGATTTGAAAGGATACCTTGATGAAAGAGAATCTTAATGAAATGCAAATGCTAACTTTATAACCATGTTTTAGGAAATACAAAGGAGTGGTGAAAATAGTTCATTTTTTAGTTATTAATGACAATTTTAACTTAAGAGCAAAAGATTAAGTAAAGTTATTTTGTCTTAGCCTCTATTTGTTTGTTTACTTCAAATAAATGTTCTGCATTTGAATCTCATATATTCAGAAATGTTCAAGAACTGCGAATGGAGAAAATACAATTAGAACTGGAGAACCAGGAAATGGAAAAGAAATTACAAGGATTCCAGTTAACAAGGAATAGAGAAAAGGAGGAAATAAAGTGGGTAACTTTCTTAGAGAATTTCTGAGGATTAAACTAAATTAGAGAAGAATTGTTTTATATGTATTTTACTGTAATGAACATGTTTGGCCTGCAGATCACTCTCTACTTTTCGTTATGAGCCAGGAATGGTAATTTCCCTCTACTGCTCTTCATTATTACGCACTTTGCCTTCTAAGGGTCTCATTGCTTTTGTTCCTTCTGCGTCTTCTGTCTCATCACTTCACATGTCCCTTCTCGCCTTGTGCTGCTGTGTGCGGTTTGTGGTCCGGCAGGTTTAGGACGGCGGTGGAAGCCTTGGCTTTTGCTCGCAGATGAGTGCTGTCAGCAGCACGTAAGAAGCTCATAGATCATCATGTGTATCTGAAATGTACCAATCAAATCGATTAATGAATAAGAAAAGACGAAATAGAACAATATGGATAGAGAAAAGGAAGTTTGTGTTTATGGCTACTTCACTTATGGAAAGTCTTTTGGGGGCAGGCATGTGCCGGTGCACTCATGGGACTCATTTAAACCAAAATAAGTTTGGAATATTCTTAGCAAATTTCAGGTAGCTAAAATCCTACTAATGAGAATTCCCTAATGTTGTACTTGTATATCTGCGCTAATATAACCGAGAGCACTATTTTACTATAAAAATAACAAGATGGTAATAGTTAAACAGAAGTGATGATGATGTGACAGAAATTCTCTCTTTACTCTAGGGTTGCTCTCAGCTCATTTCCTAGCACCTGTTTTAAGGATTACAATATTTTTCTTCACCGACATCTTTTCTTTGGACAAGTCTCTCTTGTTCTCTCTCTGTCTCTCTCAGTCTCTCTCTCTCTCTCCATTAGCACACAGTGACCTATCTCACTTTGTTGATTATAATAGCATTTATTTTTATGTTTCTATTAATTTTTCAGTATTTTGTAATTACAAACGCTGCCAGGGCCATACTGCAACATGCAGTTTTGTTTACAGGCACAAGCATTTGGGGAATAAATTCCTCCCCTATAATTTTAGGTCAAGGTGTGTGTGTGTGTGTGTGTGTGTGTTTTGTATTGTGATAGACAGTGAACAATTGTCCTCCAGATGGGCTTCCAGAGTTTGTAGCCTTTGTCTCAAGAACAAGATAGTGCGTGTTTTGTGTGTGTTTGCTGATGCCAAATATTAGCAAGTTTTTTTGTATACTGTTTACCTTTTTTGGTTCTCAAAGTGATGACCGCAAAATACCTATGAAGCATCTAAGACTACTCGGATGCTTTGTATTTATTACAGTCTCAGTAGATTTTATCCATAGAGTTCAATTCATTAAAAAAAGTGCATGAGAGCTGGGTGTGGTGGCGCACGCCTGTAATCCCTGCACTCAGGAGGCTGAGGCAAGAGGATCATTGAGAGTTTGAGGCCAGACTGGGCTGGGAAGTGAGCTCAAGGCCAGCCTGCATGGCATAGTGAAACCCTGTCTCAAAAAGACTAAATAAATAAATAAATAAATAAATAAATAAATAAGTAAACCTTGCATGACTCACCTATATAACGTCTCCAGTAAGTAGACTATTGGTATAATCAAGGCATAGCATACTGTATGTCACATCAATGAAATTTATTGTATGTCCCCCTGCTTGTCTCTTAGTTGTCCACTAGCCACTTCTCCATTCACTGACTTTTACTTTGTTTGGACTTTTTCATGGGTCTTGGTACTTACCTGGGAATCAGGGTTCCTGAAATCAACTCTGAGCGAATTTTCTTTAACTGTAGAAACTTTCCTAGATTTTTTATAAAAGCATTCTAAACACTGACTGAGTTTTCAGTATTCTTAATTCTTTTCTAAATTTCACAAGTAGTGTGTGCCATAAGCAGAACGAGAACCTGCCACTCACTGGTCAGGAGGATAGACGCCCACCGTTCTAATTTGTGCCTTTATTATCTGTGTGTGATTGAACAGATTATTGCCTCAGTATTCTAAAATAGGAACTGGACTTCCTGCCCTTGTAACGTCAAACAGTGTTTAAAAACAGTTCATGAGGAACAACTAAAAGTACTTTGAAAATTGTAATACTAACAGTTGCTTTCTCTACAAACTCACCTTTCAGTGTGGTGCCCGTTTGAAATCTTACCAGGAAATTCACCACTTAGCAGATGTGATGAATATTTGTTGGTATCGTTTTGCTTCCTTTTCCCGTTGACACTTGTGAATGCTCATGACCATCTGTAAAGTTTGAAAACTGCATGACTGTCTGTAAAGTTTCCTCCAAATAAGTAAAACTACCTTTAGCCACTGTATATGTCAAAAATTGAAATTTTTTAGCTGAGTTTGGACATTTTACTTTTATATTTTTTTGCAAAAGTCATAAAAATGAGTGATATTTTAAAATTACTGGAGATAGTGGGGAAGTATTAATATTTCATTTTCATTTGGTACTGGTTTTTATATATGAATATCTGAATCTCTATTTCCTGAAACTGGGAAATATATTTGTTTTTATAAAAATGAGAAATTCTTTCAGTAATCGTATTTTGTCCTATTTATATATATATATTAAAGGTCAAGTGGATATCACTGGAAAGCTGGAAAAATGGCCAAATTGGGTAATCAATCACATATGATTTCACAAAATAAGGGAAATTCTATTAAGGTAAGAACATGCCATTTAATTCTCAGTCAACTTGCCAAGAAGATATAAATTAATTATTTTTTCAAATTTTACATCAACTTCCATATTAAGTCACCTATTATTTTTGATTTTGCATAATATTATATTTCTTATTCATTTTTATAAGTTACTGTATAACTTCCAGTGTTTACACATATTTTTGTTTTCATCTACAGTTTGAGTTTTAAAAATTTACTTTATGGTGATTTTTTCCCATCCTGAATTTCTTCAAATTCCAAATAATTTTTTTCATTTAGTTCAAGTCTGGTTGTTTTAAAATATGAGAAATAAAGCTACATAGTTTTATATTAAGGTGAATACTAATGTTATTTGATATAACAAATGATATACTTTATTTCTATTTTCATATAATTTCACATAGGTTTAATGTTTTATACTGTATTTCAATAATAATTACTCATATAATGTTGATTTCAAGTGTGTAGATACCTCAAAACAAAATGAAACAGCAAGAACAAAATACAGCTCTTCCAGTTTCCTGGCTGCAGACTTTCTTTACTCTTCATTGTAAAAATATAAAATTCCATTATATTTAAGATTAAAACCAGGAAAGTGCTTTTATATAAAGAAAACTGTTCTGTTTCTGGATCCATTAGTACAAAATTTATGACTTTGTAAGTTTTAACTTACACAGCTCTGTTTTTATATACCTGTCATTAAACTTGCATGATGTCAATTGCCACCTACGGACTTCTCACTCAGGGCTTAGAAACTTGGCTTCAAAAACACATTTTTATTCTATAGTGTCAATACTGTAGTAAGGTATGTTTCTTTAATGTAGGGTCAAAACATTTATAACCTACTTTTAATTTTTTATTATTGTTCTATAGTGATGCAGAGATATTACGGGAAGTACAATACACTGAAAATGCTCACCGTGATTATTGACCTTGTAATTGTTGGCTTACTTGCTCTTTGTTGAAAGCTGTTTTGGTCTTACAGTGAGTTATATTTATTTTCAAAGAGGTCTTCATCTAATGGGAAAGATGTGCCTCAGAAATATAGTAAAGATGTACTTTTTGTTATAATCAACTTTGTGTATGAACAATATGTGTTTAAAATAGTAGCTTAGTTCTACAAAGACATCATTTAAGAGTGTGCTAGGTGCATCTGTAAGGCAAAATGACGAATAGCAACAATTCTTGCCAGCACACACATTTTAGCTAAGAAGGAGAGGGTCGGTAGGAAGGAGAGTTGCTGAAGAAGCAACTCCTACCCTTGTGCTCTACTTATTCATATACATAAAAATGTACTAATATTGCATACATTATAAAACAAAATATGGAAATTAATCAAGAACAAGGTAAACATAGTTGGAAAAAGAATTTTATAGAATCACTCAGTTTAGCTGTATTTCCTTTTTATTTCTCTAAGCGCTTGTATCACCCTAAGAAGCAGTTTATTATTCCAGTTGCACAGATGAAGTAACTCAACATCTAGTCAGGGCCTAGTAAAAGTTCTTAAACTTGTTTTAAGGTAATTTCCCAACTTTCTTGAGAAGACAAGCTGAGGAGAAAAAGAATGCAGGAACAGAATCAAAGTAGTACAATTTCATACAAGATGGAGGGAAAACAGGACATTGTGAGAAAATATGGAGATGTGAACATTGTCTAATAAATAAAAAAAAGAATATTGTCTAACAAATCCTGTAGTGGAAGTGTGCTCAGTATTGATTTAGACCACTGTTCCTCAAGGGGGCAAGTTTGTGTTCCAGGAGACAGTTGGCAAAGACTGAGGACATTTTCAGTTGTAAGTACCAAGGGTGTTTGTTCGTGTGTTCGCTGAAGGTATGTAGTGAGTGCGGCCAGCAGTATTGGTAAATATCCTGCCTTGCTCTGGACGGCTCAGCAAGAATTACTTGGCCTGCGATATGGACTGTACTGAGACTGGGAAACCTTGTTTTAGGCCCCGTATATTAAAATTCTGACTCAGGTAACTGACCTTGTGCTCTTAGGCATGACACTTAACTCTTCTGAATCTCTGTTAGCCACATCTGTAAACTTATCACATTTCTCACCACCTCATGAAGTTTTGAGCAATGTGTGATATGATATGTATGAATGTACTTTGTAAGATTACCTGAAATCCCATTAAAGTGTACAGTGAAAATGAGAATTTAAAAAAGCTGAATTTAATGACTGCAGCATTATTAGAAGTGAAAATAGATTTCAAGTAGTTTGAGAGGAAGGAATGTCGGGGAGCAAATGAGAAGAATTTCTGCAGTGAACACAGAGGCAGAGGACGGCATGTTAAGTGCCTGACGGGCTCAGGGAAAGACATTATTATGCTGTATTTTAGAGGTGAAGAGGTGATGTGAGCTAGTTTAGAGTCTGAGGGGTGGGTATGCAAGCAGGGGAGACTAGAAGTGCCTGTGAGAGATGCAGCTGTCGTTGGGGTGGTCCTTGAAGAGCTCGTTCATCAGAGAAGGCTTCTCCAGGGGAGAAACACGCTTTCTCTGATGGAAGAAAGAGAAGGAACACGTGGATGCACAAGTAAATTTTAGAGGTTGTGATTGACAAGTGCTGACACAGGATAGTGCAGAAAATGGTAAGAGGAAAGTGTCAGTATTTTAGTAACATTAAAGCCAATATCATCTGCTCAGCTGAAGGACAAAAACAGGAAGATAGTAAGCTCTTGGGAATGGAGGTTTGGAGTAGCCTTCCGGGAGACAGGGGTGGAGTTTACCAACAACCGAAGAATAAATTACTAAGAAGCCATAAAGGCCCACTAGGGTTATTCAACACAGAAGTTTAGAAACTATTTCACTATCTCATCACAGTAATAGACAGATACGGGAGGTCTAAAAGGGCAGAGATAAGGTGATTAAAGTTAGCACCGAGAAACTGAGTTTAGGAGAGTGGAGCTGTGGTCGATCAGAAAGCTGCTTAGACACAGTTCCGCCGTACGGTGGGGTGGCTGAAGATATACACGCATAGTAGCCATGATGTTGGAGGAGCTTCAGCACAAGGACGGGGGGTAAAAATGGACACTCAGGTGTCCAGGGTTATCAGTCAAAAAAAAAAGCAAATATTAAGCAGATTGTTGGGATTCAGGGATTCAGGGTGAAGAGGATCCTAAATGTTGGAAAGGAGACAAGTAGATAGGAACATTTAGTAGAGGCTTTGCTGTGTGGTGGTTGTGGGACAGCATTCTGGAAGCAGCGTGCAGGAGCAAATGGGAAGAACTGTTTCCTCTTGATGAGGGAAAGGGAGTGAAAAAGGAACTAGTTTCTTTGGAAAGTGATTTGGAGAAAGATGTGTCTAAGGAAAGGTAAATTTCAGTTAATGTGAACATACGGCAGAAATGTTTTCAAAAAGATTTAATGCACAAGATAGTCTGATGACTATTTAATAGACATTCCTTGGAATAGCACGGGAGTCTGGATGGAAAGGTAATTAGCAGATAATTACAAAGACTAGTAATAATAGAGTAGAGAGCGAGACTATCTGGAAAGGTGGTATGTGGGGGGATTCGGGCCCAGTGTGGTAGATCACAGCATCGACGGGAGTTCGGAGGCGTAAACGGGAGGGGGACTGTGATAGCAGCATGGTTTGATTCCAGGGACTGAGATGATCTGTCTGCCTGGTTGACTTAATTAAATTGACCTGGTCCCTGAAAGGATTCCTTCAGCACTTACTGGGAGAACATGAGTGGGTTAATAAGACATGGACTTTAGCATATTAAAACCTGCTATTTTAGATACACACACACACACACACCCATGCATAGGTACGTGTGTGTGCACATACATACCCTCGATCTAACCTACTCCACTGCCAGCCCTGTCCTGCCAGATAGATGCCAGACTTAGGGGAAAGTGTTATTTGCCTAAAAATAGCAACTATCAGTTTTTCACTGAAATATTTTTATGCGATTTGAATGATTTGAAATATTACTACATTCATAGAACAGAAAAAGTATTATCCATAATAAAAAGAAATGATGAAATGTCTCAAATAAATATTGCCTTTTGCTTTGGAATATCGATATATTCTACTTAAGTAACTTGCATGCCGATCGTCCTGCAATTCAGATGTATCATTAAGGTAATCACATTGGATAATTTGTCTATGAAAAATGAGATTAAATTATCTGTTAACTTGTATAACATTACCAATTTTAAAATAAAAGTGTGACACTGATAAAATTGATTATTTCGATCCTATTTTCTTCTCTGCTATGTTTGATACAGAAAACATCTGAGCAACTACTTCAAAGAACATGGACAATAAGCGCCTCTTTGAAGCAAAGCCGTGGAGAATAATTAGGCTTAAATTTCCGACGATGACTGCCTTTGGTGCAGCCACGGAGACAGAGGCAGCCATTGTTCCCCCATCCCCATGTGCAAATTGCGCAATTGAGCACGCAAATTGCAAATTGCAAACTGGGAATGAACTGACAGTGTCTAAATGCACACTACCCTCCGTGCTCCTTTGTGTACTTTAAATGTCATTTTTAATAAGACCAAGAGAAATACTTGCAATTAGCAGGTCTGCTTTTGTGTCCTAGATCCAAGCATTTTATGAGATTATTTATTTGAACTATCCAGTGGTAAATCTTAATTACTCAATTTTTGTGGTCATAATTTTGGAAAGTCATGGATTGTAAATAATATATTTGAAGGTTAAGACCATGATGCCTAATCACTTGCGTCTACAAACTGGGCAAACAAGACCATAACATTAGCTTTGACAGTTGTGTGAGCACTGTCAGCTCAGTCGGAATTCGGTTTAGATTCAGTCTGCACAAATCCTGGACTTCGTATATTTTAAAAAGAGCAGAACTACAAGACGCACTGAGTCTTTACAATCTTTGAATGCCGGCACTTAAAACCATTCATGATGACGTACCAGAGCAGTGCAGCTTTTCAGTATTTTTGTTAGTAACTTAATTAAACTTTCTTTGGATGAGAGAATATACACATAATCAATGGTTATCTATTTCATTAATACAGCTTTCTCCCAGAAAAGTGAAATTAAAATTACTGAAGCAGCAACTTCAAGGTAAACAGTTTACCAGTATTATTAGATGCTAAAGACACAGTTTCTAAAATTAAAGTGCTAGAATCATTCAGAGAAAGAATCTTGCCTTTGCTGAGATCCAGATGTTCCCAGAACGCTTATTGTGTCAAAGGCGTAGTTGCTGACTGGGCTTGGGAAGTGTCTGAGTCACGAGGGCTCTAATTTCCTGACCTGATGGCATTAGTGGAGGTGGTGGGAGCAGGCGGTGACGGGGTGTGACTTGGGGACTGTGGCTCCCTGTCCTGGCTCCTCCACCCCGCCTCCGATCTGCAGCGAACTGAGCCGCATCGCTGCACCCCTGCTCTGCGCCATGTTTGCTTACCATGGGCAGCAGAGCCAGGTGACCAGGGCCTGGCACCTCTGGGAATGTGAGTGGAAATGAACCTCCTTCCTTTAAGTAATTTTTCTCAGGTGTCTGGTCACAGCGATGAAAAGCTAACAGAATTACAAACCCCCAAATGATGACATTTTGATTTTCACATATATTTAATTCAGACTTTCCTTGGGGCTTATTTTTATGTCAAAATGTCAACTTAGAGTATGAGTCTAATAATAACACTTCATAAAAAGGACTTTCATAACACTGGTTTTTAAAAATATATTGATTAATCTAACCACAAAGAGAATTTATCAGAATAAAATTATAAACTGAAAAGTCACTCCAGGGAAAAAAAGTATATTGAAAGTAAAAGTATATTGCTTTATAATTTAATAAATTATTTAAAAATAGGACAATGCAAAGATAAATGTTGAACTTTAATCACTCAAAAAGAAGAAAGATGCATCTCTGGAGGGTGAATGAATTTAAGTTTGAATAGTTACCATAATTTGGTAGAGCAATATATATCAGATAGGTTTATTTTGTATGTTCAGAACTTGTCCTGTGTGGTTTTTATTTTGATACAGAAATGGGCAAATACCATAAGCATGCTATCAGCAGCATGATGTTTTTCCTGTTGGAATTTTTTCAGCTCAGCTGAGTTTTAGGCAGAGTGGACATGAATGGATAGGCATAGCCCGTGGTCACCAGAGCTGCCAGGGCCGGCTTTAAACTCTGACATGAACTATCCAATTAGGTTTGACTATATAACACTTTTTATGGGAAACTAATATTTAAATACTATTTGAGAATTTAGAAATGTACAGTTTCATTATTTTACTAATCAGAAAACTAAACATCATTCTATAAATTGATTTTAAATACTAAAATGTTCTGAACATTTTTTTTTCTTCCAGAGCCAGTGAAGCGACCCATTCATTACAAAATGGCAAATTGTTCTCCATATGAAAAACCCAAGGTCCCGGGGAAGGCTTGTGGACAGTGTGAGAGCAAAGCTGCTCTGCTAGTATGTATCTGACAGTAAACAATCCCCGCAGAACTCTGTGTGGTCTTACACACCCCTCCCAACTTCATCTGCGTTCATAGCCACACGCTATTCGCTCGTTTCCGTCTCTAGGTGCCATGCATGTGCTGCTGGATAAGGCCACTGCCTCTACTTACGCGCTGGATCTCACCCTCTCATCCTTGTTTGTAAATCTTGTCATCTCTCCTTTGGTTTGTTTTGCTGTTGGTTTTTGTTTAAGGCTGCTATAGACATTGATACGCAAGTCTTTTTTCAAAGTATGCACATTTTCTTCTTTCTTTTCTTAAAAGCTAAACAACATGAAAACAAAGCTCAGATAATAATGCTCTTGTCAGCTGTGTAGCTGTCACAGATGCCGGTCTCTTGAACATTTCCAATAACTGTGGCAAGGAGTGCAGAGCAAAAGTGGCCATCAGAAGTGGGTTAGTGGTGGTAGGCACATTCACACTATTGTGCCACTAGCATCGCTGTCCGCAGAGCACTTCTCATGTCGCAAAACGGAAACGTCTTACCTTTTGAACAAAAACTCTTCGTCATCCCTACTCCAGCCCCCAGCAAATGCATTTTATTTTCTATCCCTGGAATTTGTCTACGCTAGCTACCTCATATAAATGGTATCAGAGTATTTTTTTCTTTTGAAACTGACCTTAGCACATTATCCAAAAGGTTCAGTTATAGTGTAGTGGGTCAAAATTTCCTTCCTTAGTAAGACTGAAAAATACACTTACCAAATTTTCCTTATCAATTTATCTATTGATGGGTATTTGGGCTGTATCCATCTTTTGGCTATTGTGAATAATGGTGCTATAAGTGTGAATGTACAGATATTTCTTCAAAATCCTGCTTTCATTTCTTTTGGATGCACATCCAAAGATGTAGTTACTAGAATTTCTGTTCTCTCTTGATTTCTCTTTATTTAGTATTTTTTTGTTTGTTTGTTTGTTTTCTGGCACTGGGAATCGAACTCACGACCTTGCGCTTGCCAGGCAGGCGCTGTGCCGCTGAGCTAAATCCCTAGCCCCTGTTTGTTTAGTTTTGTACCTCCATTAAGATCCAGGTCGTCAGTGACGTCTTCCTTCTTAAAACACAGTGGTAAATTACAAGTTTTGTCATAATTTGTTAGAACTGTTTGATGCAGTAGCCCCTCTATCTCTGGCTGTCTTCACCCGCTTTCCTCTGAGTCACGCTCTCGTAGTTTGATTTTACTTTGCAGTTGTTTATTCTGTCTTCACCAGGTTTTTTGTGTCCTTGACCTCTAAATGCTGGCGTGCCGCAGGGTTCAGCTCTTCAGCCTCTGCTATAGGATATTTATTCTTTCTCTTTATGTAGGTTTGTTGACGGTTTTGGATTTAGAGACCGCATCTACCTGCTGATCTCCAGGTTTACACATCTATCACATCCCTCTGTCCTGAACATTTTATCCAAGCTGCCTACCTGACATTTTATTTGAGTGCTAACAGGCATTGGTGACTTAACATACTCAAAGCCAAGCTCGCGATTTCTCTCCAGCAAATATTCTTCTCCCACAGTCTCCTAACATGGGTCAGTCCCTGACGGTCCTTTGTAAACCAGCAGAAGCGGAGTTTCGGTCTTTAGCTTTGTGAAGCTACGTCACACATCTGCATAATATTCATCACCATTTAGGTTTGCATCACCAAAGCCAAGTAAATATTCCCAGCTCAGAACTAGAGTGTCCTTTCTCTTTTGAGGCCCACACTCTATTTCTTTGAGTGTGCACTTAAAATCTCTGCCTATTAAATTCTTTTATGTCTCTTGAAACATAAAACGTGTTCTTTTTCTACCTACACAGAATATGAACTTCCCGAGGACCGGGGCTTGCTTTTCCTCACTGCAGAGGGCCGACCACCTACGGCTGTGCTTGCCGTGTAGTAGGTGCTCAACAGATGCTTGCTGAATTTTTCTTTCTTTCTTTCTTTCTTTCTTTCTTTCTTTCTTTCTTTCTTTCTTTCTTTCTTTCCTCCTTCCTTCCTTCCTTCCTTCCTTCCTTCCTTCCTTCCTTCCTTTCTTTCTTTCTTTCTTTCTTTCTTTCTTTCTTTCTTTCTTTCTTTCTTTCTTTCTTTCCTTCTTCCTTCCTTCCTTTCTTTCTTTCTTTCTTTCTTTCTTTCTTTCTTTCTTTCTTTCTTTCTTTCTTTCTTTCTTTCTTTCTTTTTCTTTCTCTCTTTCTTTCTTTTCCCTCTCTTCTCTCTCTTTTAATTTGTAAAGTGCAGGCTGGCCTTAAATTCACTATGCAGGCCGGGCTGACTTCAAAAATTGTAGTGATTCTCCTGACTCAGCCTCCTGAGTGCTCAGATCAAAGATGTGCATCAGTACAGCTGAGGAGTCATTTCTTTAGAGAACTATACAATAACAGAGATTTCCCTTCATTTTAGATAAATTTTTCTTTTAGTTACTGTTACAGACATTACAGTCTATTTCGCCATCATAGTCTATTTTGCAATTTAAATTTTACACATATGTAGAAACCCGTTTCCCCCTCCAATAATGTAATGATTACAGTTAATCTGTGTGGTGCAAATATCATTATGGTTTCAGAGAATTTATCCCTGGTGATTTCCAAGTTAAAGCCATATACTTAGGCTAATTTATTGGCTGTTATTAATTGGGTCTGAAGAGTTAGAGTGTTCTATGTCTTAGAAGGAGCTAATTGCAACGTCAACTGTAAACCTTGGTTCATATAATGCTTTCTTACGTGAAGTTATTTCTGGTGTGAGGGACAATAATTCAAGAAATCTTAACAAACTGTAACTGCCTAGAAATGTGTGAAGTAGGAAAGAATGCTGGTTATGTTTTTCACTTGAAAGTGCTAAAGCTAAAAGGGGCTCATTTGTGGAGTTGTTGGGGTCATTTGTTACTGATGTGAAAAAAGATTTCATAGGAGCTGTGAGTCAGTATTTCTAGGGAATATTAATGTTGAACATTTCTTGTTTTAATTTAAATTTCCTTTAATAATTTAAATTAAAAATTTAAAAGTCCTTTCCATACATAAATAAAATTCGCATATTTATGGGACACCATGTGATATTTTGGTGCATGCATGTGTTCTGTATGTTCAGATAGTGAACATAGATATACATGGAAGACCTGTCTCTCCTCACTCTTCCTTCTTCTCTCTCGCACTGCCCAGCCTTTGCTCTCTGCCACTCTCCCCTCAGCCTCTGTGAGATGAATTTTATATATTCCACACAGGAATGAGTTCACAATGGATTTGTCTTTCTGTGCCTGGCTTATTTCATATAACATAACGATCTCTATATCCACCCGATTTTCCACATACAACAGGATATCATTCTCTTTTATGGCTGCATAGTAGTCCACTTTGTATGCATACCATGTTTTCTTTATCCACTCATTGGCTGACGAGTCCTTTGGCTGTTCCCATTTCCTGTCTAAGTAGTGTGACAGTGAACACGGTTGTGTAGGTGTCTTTTTATTTGCTTTGTACTGATACTGATGCATTTCTTCAGTATATGTTCCCAGTGTTGGGATTGCTGGTTGTATCGTAGTCCCTTTTTACAGTTCGGCGGCTCTGTGCTGCTCTCTCAATGGCTGCGCTGACTTACCTTCCCACCGACGGTGTTGTCAGCGTCCCCGTCTGCACACCCTGAGGAGCACTTGCTGTCCAGTGTCGGTGGTACTTTCCATTCTTACTGAGGTGAGCGGAGACCGCCTCGTTGTTCCGGGTCACACTGTCTTCATTAGTCGTGGCACGCACTTTTTCATCCTCTTCTTGGCCATCTGGATGTATTTTATTTGAGAAATGTCCATTGCCTGTTTTTAACTGGGTCATTCTTTTTTTTGCTAAGTAGCTTTTGAAATTCCTTGTACATTTTGCGTACCATCTTCTTGTCAGATTTGTAGCTTGTAAATATCTTCTCCCATTGTGTTAGGTTGTCTCTACACTGTTGATTGCTTCTCATGTGGTGTATAAGCTTTTTTTTTTTTTAATGTAATTTAGATATCTATTTTTGGTGCATTATCTTGTGTTTTTTGGGTCTTGTCCAATAAAATCATTGCCCATTCCAGTATCTGGATGCGTTCTCTCCGTTTTGATCTCTTAGATTCAGTGTTTAAGTCTTTAACCCATTGAGAGTTGGTTTTTGTACCCTGATTGGAGTCGTTTCATTTTCTGCACATGCATATCCAATCTTCCCATCGCCATTTAAAATAGACTGTCCTTTCTCCAGTGGATGTTTTTGTCATCTTTCCCCAAAATTAAAAAGCCGTATTTGTCTGAATTTACTCTAGGAACTCTGTCTGTTGCATTGGGCTGTGCGTCTGTATTTATGCCAGTAACACACTGTTCCGATGAATGCAGCGTTTCAGTATATTCTAAAGTCAGCTAGTCCAGTTCCAGTTACTACCTTGCTGACTTGGGTAAGGTGGCTTTGGCTGTTTGGAGTTTTGATTCCAATGAACTTTAAGAATGTTTTTCTAGTCTGTGACGAATGCCTTTGGAATTTTGGAAGGGAATGCATTGAATCTGTGGACTCCTTTTGTTAGGAAGGACATTTTTAACTCTTGATGCTTCTAATTCATGAGCACATGACGCTTTTCCACATTTTTGCATCCTCCTCATTTCTCTTCATCATTGTTTTGTAGTTTTATTGTAAAGATTTTTCCCTTCTTGGATAAATTTATTCCTACGTGCTTTTTTGTAGCAATGGCAAATGAAGTTCATTTTTAAATTTCAAATTCAGATAACTGGTTGTTAGAATATAGCAATCCTACTGAGTTTTTATGTTGATTTTATATTTTGAAATTTTGCTGAATTCATTTATTAGTTTTAAAAGTATATTTATGGGGTCTTTGGCTCTTTTATATATAAGATTATGGCATATGCAAACTGGAAATTTGAATTCCTGTTTCTAATTTGGATGTCTTTCTTTGTCTTATCTTATTGCTAGGGCTAAGCCTTCCAGTGCTATGTTGAATAAAATTGATAAAAGTGGGCATCTTTGTCTTGTTTTAGACCTCAGAAATCTTTTAGTTTGCCTGCATTCAGTTGGATGTGAAGCTAGCTTTGGACTTATTGTATATAGCCTTTGCTATGCTGAAGTGCATTCCTTCTATACCTAATTTATTTAGCAATTTTATCATGATGGGATGTTGAATTTTATCAAATGCCTTTTCTGTGTCTACTGTTCAGCCTCATTACTGTCTTCCTTCTGGTGATTCATTGTACCACGTTACTGATTCATATATCCTGCACAATGCTTGCTTCCCTGGAAGAAGCCCACTTCTAGACCATAATCTCTGTAATGTGGTATATATTCAGGTTGCTGCCACTGGGTGATTTTGCATCTGTGTTCACCAAGGACACTGGCTTGCATTTTTGTGGTTGGTAGGTTTCTTATTGTTATATACTTGTCTAGTTTTATTCTCAGGGTAATGTTGGACTCATAGAATATGCTGTGAAGAATCTTATTATCTTCAATTTTTAAAAATTATTTGAGAGTAATAGTATTAATTCTTTAAATGTTTGAAAACTTTGGTAGTTAATTTTCTGGTCTTGGGTGTTTATTTAATGGGAGACTTTCTTACTAATTGAGTCTCATTACTTTTCACTGATCTGTTCAAGTTTTTGATTTCTTCTTGATTCAGTCTTAGTAAGCTATAAATATTTAGATATTTGTCCATTTTTTCTTAGTTATCAAGTTTGTTGATGCATAGTTATTCATAATAATCTCTAATGTTTCCTTATATTTCTTGTATTTCTTTGGTATCAGTTATAATGTTTCCATTTTCATTACTGATGTTATTGACTGCTAAGTAGAAATAGATAGGATTTAAATTGGGTGTGATGGCACACACCTGTAATCCCAGCACTCAGGAGGCTGAGGCAGGAGGATTGTTGAGAGTTTGAGACCAGCCTGGGCTCCAAAGTGAGCTCAAGGCCAGCCTGAACTGCATAGTGAGACCCTGTCCCAAAAAGACAAAAATAAATAAATAAATAAATAAACAAATAAATAAACGAATACCCAGGACCTGACTCCTGGAAACAAAGGATCTATTTTTTCAGTGAAGGAAGTAGAAAGGTAGTTGTAGGCAGGCTACGGGGCAGGGCTGGAAGAGGCGGATGGGACGGACACCGTGTGCAGTGATCACAGAGCTGATCCGTCAGAACTGTCCACACAGTGTTCAGGATTGAGGCTTCAAACTTGCAAAAAGTTTCAGTAAGATTTTTAAAAAGAATTTTCTTTGATATCAAATGAAAACAAAACATCACAAGATAGTTATCAAAACAATAAATTATTTGTTAGAATGATGTAATAATCTAGTGAAGTAGAAGGCAGTGCTAGTGAATTCTGAGGTTGTCTTACATTCTTAGCGTGTGTTGTATAACTATGCTGACTAGACACTCCACACACACACACACGCACACACACACACACACACACACACACACACACACGGCGTTCTTTACCAGGAAACGTTTTGTACTGGGGAATGGAAGGGGGGTGTTAAGGGGTTGCAATTTGGTGGTTAGAATGGCACCTTTATTATTTCTGTGACCTTAACTGGTGACTTAATCCTTTTGTAGCTATTTTCTCATTTGCTGAATGAAATAAGGTTAACTATACTCTATGCCATAAAATTATTGATAATGATGAGTTAATGTATGTGCAATATTTAGCACTATGTGTAACACATAGGGCAGGAGACAGGAGATGATGATTTGTGTTTTTATTATTGGCATACATTTTGTGAACTGCTATAGTCACAAAACTTCCAAATTTCTTCTTTTAAAGGGACTTCCAGTGGTTTTGTTTCTATATGTCAAGAGTAAACTGGATAGTTAAAACTACATATTAATTTGGCATATTTGGATAATTTAATTAAGCTCAAATGGATTCTAAATGCTTAGTGTGACTGATCTGGCATTCATCAAACCAGCAAGACAGTTGTTAAAACGGTGCTTGTGTGTTCCATCTACTGTGGTAGAGTGGAATCTTCACCCGTGATTTTAGTATGTTTCTGCCAGTTATACAGAAAGCGTAAAAAGATTTTCCAGCTGGCAGTCATTTTAACCAGCTTAAATCCAAATATGCTGTTATAACAAAATATATAAGCTTGCTCTGCAACTCTGGCTTTGATGTTCCAGTCTACAGCTATTTGCTTGGTTGCTTTCATTAAAAGTTTGTTAGCAATTACTTGGCTTAGAAGAAAATGCTGAAACTATTGTAAACTCCCTATCTAATATAATACTACACTGTAAAACCTGCCAAGTATTTACAAGACATTTATTAAATTTATTAAAATATTAACAGGCATTTAAATAAAATTATGCAGAATACATAAAATCTATATCCATATACTACTACTCTATATATGTGTGTGAAATTAGTTTTTAAATTAAAATTCATTTTTCATTTACAATTATGGAATTAATGTGTTTTTATCATTATTTCCCTAAGAGGGAGAAACAAGAGTAGAATGGGTAAGAGTGGTTCACATGCTAGAAAGTGTATTTAGTTTTCCTCTGCTTAAATAAAACAATACAGTTCTCTATGGCTAATCACGTTTGAAGAAATGCGTTAAGATTTTGATAAATATCAGTCAGTGCAGTCATTTGAAATACTAAATTGCATTTAGGTGTAGATTTTATCACAGTTTCTCAGTAAATGATTAATCTTGCAGTTAATGACTGATTGACTCGATGATCGCGAGCGTGCGTCGCAGTTAGGAGCTCGCGCTGTCCGCCGCCCAGCAGGCTGCGGCCTCGGCTCCGCCGCGTGGTGTGCAGCCGCGGGCGCGGTCGCCGCCCTCGTGCCCCTTCCTCGCTTCGTCCTGCGGAGGCCGCGGAGCGATTGCTCCGGCCGCGGGGCGGTGAGGCGGGGAATGTGCTGGAAGAGTCCGTTCGTGCTGCGCCAAGCGTTGCTGCTGCAGTCCTGCCCCCTGGAAGCTGCGCTCGAGCTCTGTGAGTGTTCGTGCCCCTCCTTCCAGCGCGGCGTGGCGGCGGGTGTGCTGCAGACCGGGCGGCCGGCCCGGCGCCGGGCGA